GGGAAAGAGAAGCCAAGAGAGGTCACTGGAATGCTTCAAGAAGGAGACAATGAGGAGAAAGATGAGAAGCTGCAAACCCAAGACGGCCAAAGGCAGGGAAACAGTCTCAGAAGTGCCTGACCGAGAACCTGAGGATGGCAGCCAATGCGGCAACATGGCACATGCGGGCATCCGGGCCGAGAGGAGACAGTACATCTGCGCTGAGTGCGGGAAGGCCTTCGGTCAGAGCGCCAACCTCGCCGTGCACGCACGGACCCACACGGGCGAGAAGCCCTACACGTGCAGTGAGTGCGGCAAGGCCTTCAGCCATAGCTCCAATCTGGTGGTGCACCGGCGGATCCACAGCGGCCTGAAGCCCTACGCCTGCACCGACTGCGGGAAATCCTTCAGTGGTAAGTCCCACCTCATCCGGCACCAGGGGGTCCACAGTGCAGAGAAGACCTATGCGTGTAAAGAGTGCGGGAAAGCCTTCAGCCGGAGCTCGGGCCTCATCTCGCATCACAGGGTCCACACTGGAGAGAAGCCCTACACTTGTGCAGAGTGCGGGAAAGCCTTCAGCCGGAGCTCAAACCTGACTCAGCACCAGAGGATGCACAGGGGGAAAAAGGTCTACAGGTGTAAGCAGTGTGGGAAAGCATGTGGCTCGAATACGAAGATCATGGACCATCAGAGAATTCACACTGGAGAGAAGCCTTATGAATGCGGCGAGTGTGGGAAAGCGTTCATCTTGAGGAAGACCCTCCACGAACACCAGCGACTTCATCGCAGAGAGAAGCCTTACAAGTGCAGCGAGTGTGGGAAGGCTTTTACTTCTAACCGAAACCTCGTCGATCATCAGAGAGTCCACACTGGGGAGAAGCCTTATAAGTGCAACGAGTGTGGGAAAACGTTCAGACAGACTTCGCAAGTCATCCTGCATTTGAGAACCCACACGAAGGAGAAACCCTATAAGTGTGGGGAGTGCGGAAAGGCTTATCGTTATGGCTCACAGCTTATTCAACACCAGAGAAAACATAACGAAGAGAAAGAGACCTCGTAAACAGCAAATGTTGCTGGGAGTGGGGCCGAGTGCTGCATTCCTGAAGAGCAGTTTTTCAGTACCATCAACCTTAATTCTTCTTCTAAGAATTGGTACAGGGAAAGTAATCAGAAATAGACAAAGATTAACAGGAGTATTCATGCCAGCATTAGCTAAACTGAAAGTAGATGAGATTTTCAGCAGTACAGGGCTTAGGCAAGTGATGGTCCATCCATACGATGGTTCTGCCACCACGGTAAACATTCTTAAAGAATACGTAATGCCTTTGGGAAATGATTTACCTAAAATGGAAAATAAAGAAAATGAGGAAAATAACACCCCCCCTTTTTTTTTTTTTTTTGCCATAGGGCGTGTGCGCTTGCCAGAAAGAGAGAGACAGAAAGCTAGAAAGCGAAAAATCACCCCCCCAGGGGGGATGGCCACGCCGCAATCCCTTCTCCTCCATTCTCTCAGGATCTTGGGCATGCACGCTCATGCGCCTGGCGTGAGTTTAAGCCACCAGGTTTGGAACTCGAACCGTGGTCGACTACATGGGAGTCCAGCGAAACAGCCATTACGCTAACTGCTGGTCCTGAAAATACCCAATTTTTAAAAAGATATTTGTAGGAAAAAATGGAAGGAAATAAACCAAGCCAAAATGTTAATGATGGTTATGTCTGGTGACATTATTACAGGTGATTTCTATTTTTTTTTTGGTATAATTTTCTACACTTTCTAGTTTTTCTACAATGACAATGTACTGCTTTTATATTCAAGAAGAAAGTATAGTATTTTTAAAATGCAAAGTACCTGTTAATTTTTACCCATTGGTGTTCTGAAAGGCACAGTGTCCACAGAGTCCGGAGTCGTGGGACTATGCCAGGTGCTCGGTGGCGGGAAGTCCGTGGGCAAGTCACCTCCTTTCACACCCCGGGTCCTCTTTAGTAAGATCATAAACACCAAGCCCGTGTCTTTTGCAGTTTTAAGGTAAGCTGACTTTACAGTCGTCAACAAAGTATATAATCACTGTCAGGTACAACCCCACAATACTGCCCCTCCTTTCTGGTAGGATCGGCAGATGGCGGAGCACCCCCAAGGCACCATCTTTAGAGAAGGTGTCTAGATAACCAGAAACCGTGTGCCCTTATGAAATCTAAACAACTGCATGTTTAGAAGCTTCAAGGTGATACAGTCACCATTAATATGAAACCAGTGGAAGACCCTGCCTTTATATGCCCTGTAGAGTTTGGGAGCTAAAAGTGCAGACTTCGGGGTTAGTGAGACCTGTGTTCTAGTCCCAATCTGCTATGTTCTGGCTTGTCAGTTTGGGGCAAGTCACTTAACTGCTGTGAGCATCAGACTTACCTTGAAAAAAAGAATAAGTACCTACCTCCCAGGATTGTGAGGAGGCAGTGAGATAACACTTGCAATGTCTGACAAGCATGGTGCATGGAATAATTATGGCTTTGGTGTAGGACACTGGAAGAGTGTCATTCCAAAGGGGTTTTGCTGAAGGCAGCCTTTAGGATGTTTTCAGATGCCGTGAACAGAATACCAGGTGCTAGTAGCATGGACCTTAGGAACACTGACTGATGATTTAAGAGCAACTCTAGGTGTAAGCAGTTCCAGGTTTCATTCAGCAACTCCGTTCAAACTTCCATTTTAACAGGGTATTTTTCAGCACATCGGCATTCATCTTCCATCACCTCACGATAGCGAGACAGAGGCCACTGCTGCAAGCTTCTCTTCACATAACTCTTTTGCAGTCAGGAAGGAAGGAAAGGAGCAGGTGTTCTTCCCTGATTCCTATGTCGTTCAGAAAAATCTTTTCCAGAAAAAGGGCTGATTGCTGGGCAGTCAGTACTATAGATGCTCACTGCCTTTCTCTGTCTTTCTTAAAAAAAAAAAAAAAGATACAGGGGCTGGCAGGTGGCATGGTGGTTAAGGGTGCTGGACTCCCACATGACCGACCGTGGTTTGAGTCCTGGACCTGGTGGCTTGCGCTCGCGCTCTCTCTCTCTCTCTCCACACACACCCCCAGTCAAATTAAAAATAAATAATTTTTTTTTTTAAAAGGGATGCTGTAGGGTGTGTGTTGTCACTGAAGACACAGACAGAGAAGTGAGAAAGCACCCTCCATGGGGGATGGCCACACTGCAATCCCTTCTCCATTCTCTTGGGACTTTGGGAACACACGCACATGCGCCTGGCGTGAATTTTATGCTGCTGGTCCTGAACTGCAGTCAACTATGTTGGAGTCCAGCAACTTAACCATTACACCATCTGCTGGTCCCCTCCTCTGTTGTTATTTCTGAGACTTTGGCCCGTCTGTAGCCAATTTTAAAACTTTGAGATCCTTAGTTCAAAATCCATCTGGGAACCTTCATAGTTTGCATTCTAACTCCGCCATTCTCCCTTTGTACGCACGGGGGTCCTGAGCCCAGTGCTGTGTGCTTTGTGCAGTGATTTTGTGTTTCAGGAACGATTAAGGCTATATTATCTCATTTGCTTTTCTTTGTACAAGAAAATGGAGTGCCAGCCGGGACATGAACTCAGCTCTGACTCTGAAGTTCATGCTTCCTTATAGCAAAGTCCCTGTGCCCATGGTGGTTCTGGATGTGAGCAGGAGGCCAGCTGGGCTTCTCCTGGGCAGCCACCTCTATGCAAGCTGCTCATGTTGGCCAGCTATTTGACCATGGTTTCAGAAGGAAGATGCCATCCGTCTCTAAGTGAGAGGTATGGCCTGTATTGTGCCTCACAATTTAGTTTTTAAGAGTTACGTATTTCTTCTTGGCTGTTAGAAAGAAGGGAAAGGTGTGAAGGTTGTATATTCGTGTGAAAAGGATTGCTTGGTTTTGTCCTATTTTGATAGGGTAGTGGTGTTGGCACATAATTTTGTGACAATGGAATCGTCCCTGTGTGGTTATTCAAAGCAGGGTGTGGAGGGCCTGACAGAGATGTATTGCACGTGGAGCTAGGACACGTTATCATTGCTGGACCCAACTGTTGCTCCCTGTCTTGGCAAGCACATATTCCCTGGCCAAGACGTTTGTCACTAGGTCAGAGCGTCCGAATTCCCTTCTTCTGGGAAGGATACCGTGTCATCTCCTACCCGGGTCTTCACCTTTCCAGCTCTAGGCGAGTTAGGGTACCAGTCCCTTGAGGAGGCCATCACCCATCTGGGCAGATATGCTCAGGGTCAGGAGTAAGTGACCATGGCTCCTTGCACCCCCTCAGATAGCAGTCTGTAATATACTGCGGACTGGCCCCCACCTCCCCTCAGAGGGGAGCAGGGTGGCCAGCTGTGAGCCTCAGTTCACGTTCAGCATGCAGCCCTTCTCATCCCTGCAGGCCCTCTCATGGCTCCCTTTGGAAACGAAGGGTTCTTTTGATGTGTTTTCCTCATTTTTTTTTCCAGTGGAAACCTGGCTGCCCCCTTAGGGCAGTGCTTCCTCTACATTCCCTACATTGCTAGTTTTTATTTCCTCCAATCCACAAACCTCTGTGTACTGCCATTTCTTCTCCATTCTTCATCAAAAATCCAGCTCTTTGGGATCGTACCACCAGGCCACTGCACGTTCCCCATCCCTGTTCTTGGTGTCTGCTGGCCTCCTCTGAGTCATGGGAGGTCACCTATGGTTTTCATTTTTTAAAGGTGTTTCACCATAGGGCACATGTGCTGACCACACAGAGACAGTGAGGAAAAATAAGAAATTACTCCTCAGGGGAATGGCCTTGCCACAGTCCCTTCTCCTCTTGGAATTTTGGGCATGTGCACACATGTGCCTGGCGTAAGTTTCAAGCCACCAGGTCCCAGGGCTGAACTGTGGTCAGCCATGTAGGAGTCCAGCACCTTAACCACCATGCCACCTGCTGGCCCCTTGATTTTTTTTTTTTTCTAATGCCAGAAGGCACGAGCTTGAATAAGAGAGAGAAAGCACTCCCCCCATGGGGCTGCTTGTGCCCAACCCCTTTCTTCCATTACTCCATCCCATCAGGATCCTAGGTGTATGTACATGCCCAGTGTTGTTTTTCAAGCTGCCAAGGCCAGGATTCAACCCTGGTCAGCCATGTGACATCCAGCTTCCTCTGCATAGCACTTAATCGCTGTGCTACAGGGCCAGCCACACCTGCTTCTAGTCCCCCCAAGTTTCCCTGAGAAGTATGAAGAAGCAGTATTTTTAGCCACAGAAGTCCTGGTTGTATCGAGTTGCTCCTATGTGGAATAAAAATAAATGTGTCTTTTTAGTTGAGAGGAAAACGTGAAATAGAACTGCCATTTTCTACAGCCCTCATTAAAAGGAAATGTGTAAGACTGCAAATCCTGCCTACAGAGGGAAGTGGCCCTGAACTAGAGGTTCTCCTGTAGATGGTCTGTACTGTGTTAGGTCGTACTTGGGAGAAGACTGAAACCAAAAAGAGATGTAAGCAGCGAGTAATTCTGTTGAATCTATTTCCTCATTGCAGCCTCAATGACAGGCATTTTTCTTTCACTCAATATAAATAAAAAAGGATGCCCATACAGGTAGATTGGTATTGGTAATTAGACCATTTTTAATCACTTCTGACGTAAAGCTGGAGTCATAAAACTGTTTTTGAAGAAAATGGTGAAAACCCCAATAAACATTTGCTATTCTTACATACACATAACTGACTTTTTCTTTTTGCTTCCTTCCTGTGCCCGGAGTGGGAAGGAAGCAGTTGGATCTGCCTTTCTTTAAGCAGTGGGCTGCTGTTGGAAGGCAGAAGCAGTTCCGACTTCTCATACTGCGTGAAGCCCGTTATTTTCATCCACCTGACACAAACAAGAGCTCTCGAGATGTTAGACGATTTCCTCCTGTAATTTACGCAGCTCAGTGGCAAAGCCAGGTATTGCCCACGGCCTCTTCCTGTCCTCATCTGGTCCCGAAACCCCTGCCATGGTGTACACCTCAAGGGGTTGCATCAAACCAGCGGTCTTCTCTGAATCCCTCTCTGCTCCACAAGGTAGGTCTGTGGGGTGGAAAGGAGATGGCAGACTCCTTTCTGAGCGACATAGATACCAGGCCTGACTGGTTCATACCTTCTCACTGATCGCTTCAAATCCGGATGGTGCAGACTATATGGCGTATAGGCATGCAAAGGCTATAACCAGTCTCTGGAACTAAGGCCAGGGGCCTCAGATTTGGGAGTCCCAAGGAGTATTTCCATACCTGCAGATACATTTGCCAGTCTGGGCCAGCTGGTGGCATGGAAGTTAAGAGAGCTGGATCCCACATGGCTAACTGCATGGTTTGTGGCCTGAACCCAATGGCTTGAAAACATGTTGAGCATGAATGACCAAAATCCCATGAGGGAGATAGAGAAGGCATTTCAGCCATCAGCCATCCCTCTCCTTGAGGGGGGTACTTTCTCACTTTTCCTCTCTTTCTGTTTCTACAGTGAGCACATGCACCCTATAGCAAATTTTTAAAAATTAAAAAAGGCCAGAACTTCCAAATCTGTATTTGGAGTTGTTTTATATCATTTGGAATTTATATAAAACAAAATTTTGGAGTGGGGTCCATTAGGAGCTTTGGTCTTCGTTTTTTGTTGTTGTTTAATTTTGCTATAGGACATGTGTGTTCACCACAGAGAGACAGAGACAAAGTGAGAAAACACTCTACAAGGGGAGAAGCCATGCCTCAGTCCCTTGTCTGTTCTTCTCTTGTGACTTTGGGCATGCACACACAAGTGCCTGGCATATTTTACAAGCCACTGGGTCTGGCACTGAATCCGTACTATTGGCCATGTGGGATTCGGCCTCCTTCACCACCATGCCACTCGCTGGCCCTCATTAGGTGCTCTGACTCAAGCTCTCCCGGGGTGTGAGTCCACTCAGTGGAGGCAGACAGACAGGGAGCGGGAGAGAGTGCTCCTCCATGGGGATCACCAGGTCGCATCCCTTTTCCATTTCTCCCTCTTGTGATTTTTGAGTATGTGCACACATGTTCCTGCCATGTTTCTGAAGGTGCCAGTCCAGGGACTTGAATCACACAGTTGGCTGTGTGAGATCTGGCGGACTTAATGACCAGACCATAGGCTGGCTCTGGACCTTAACTTTTTTTTCCCAATTTGCTGAAGGGTATATGCACTTGCCAGAGAGAGGCAGACACAGAGAGGAAAAGTGAGAAAGCATCCCTCAGCCAGGATGGCCATGCTAAAATCACTACTCCGTTTCTCCTTTCAGAATTTTGGGCATGCATGCACATGCACCTGGCATGTCTTTTAAGCTGCTAGGTCACTCGAACTGCACAGTCAACCATATGGGATCTAGCCACCTTAACCACTACACCACCAGCTAGCTGGGCTGCCATGAATCTGTACATGACTGTTAATAACCCTACATTTTCCCTCGGAGCAGCCTATATGAGTATATTGCAAGGTGACTGACACATACACCAAAGTTTGTATAATCACATGCCAAGCTAGCAACTTGGTCACATTGCAGTGTTGGTTTCACCAGAGTTTGGCAGAGTCGTGTTTCTGAACGGTTGAATAGAACTGTATGCCATACTAGATAACCATACTGCCTTTGTCTACAAACCACCTAGAAATGCCGGTAAAATGTGAACGTCCTTTTAAAGGACTTTAAAGAAATGAAATAGATCCTCACAGCCAGACAGTGATACAGCAGTAAAATGCAACACTGGGACAATCCCACACAGGGAAGTACCTGGTTCAAGTCCAGGGACCTCCCTGAGTATACGCAGCATGTGCTACCCATGACGAGGCTGGCTGAGGCTAGGGGTGGGTGACGGCACCAAGACCATGCTGGGGGTGCTGTCTCTCACTCACTCTCTTGCTCATAGGAGAAATAAATGAATAAAAATGTTCAGAGCCCAAAATGCAGAGGATAGGCCAGTGCGTGGCCTGGTGGCAGGGCAGTTGGAGTGCACATGGCAACACTAACCTGTTGGTAGAGTCTTGGCCCCCTTGGTAGTCTCAGTGAATAACCTCTACCTTGGCAGGCAGGGAAGGAGAATAGGGCCTGTTACAGGTGAAGCGATTTAGTGTGTGAGGGAGTAGGGACAACATGGATTAATGTTTTGGAATCTATTCATGCTTTGAGACTCAAAGTACTGCTCTTGGTTTCCCTCCTGTCTGGTTGGCTGCTGCTTCAGTCTGTTTTGTTGGGTCCTCCTAACGCGCTTTCTCCTTAGTGTTTATCATTACCTGCCACATTTTTGTATCTGTTTGTTTTCTGCCTTTTGCCAGTACAGGTGTCAAGTGCCATAGCTCAGGGACTTCACCTCTTTATGTCCCTAGTGCCTAGGACAGTGTCCGGCACAGGGCAAGTACTCTGAGTGAACGAATGAGTAGAAATGTTTAAGAAAGCCAGGAGAGAACATACAGAAATAAACAAGGAAACACAACCTGGCTTATTCGCTGAACAGTCACCTACCACGCAGTTTGGCCCCAGCTTCGCGCTAGGTACACGGGATCCGCACAGACGTGGGCTTGCCCTTCTGGAGCCTGGGTCCAGTCCGATAAGAGTGTCAGTTCTAAAAGGCCGAGAGCCAGGGAGAGCATCGGCGTCCGGTGTTTACCCAGCGGGACGGAGAAGGGGATGCCAGCTGGCTCTCTCAGGCGGGCGTGCCCAGTGTGCAAGTGCCCTTGCAGCCTCAACAGTGCTACTATTCCATGCCAGGGCCCCATTTCCTGATCACTTGGGCGGGAGACACACCCACGGCAAGAGAGCCCACAGGGAGCGATTTTAAAGCCACGTTATTTAGGGGAGAGCAGCGCTCAGTGGGAAAGTCGTAGGAGACTGACGCTCCACCGCTCTCGGTGGAAACGCAGACGAAGGCAGGCCCAGCTCGGGAGGCAGCGGCACGCGGCGGCTCGCCCCTCAGGGCCCCGCCGCCCCCGCGCCCCTCCGTCCGCGTCCCGGCCCCCGCATTCCTCCGTCCACGTCCTTCCGTCCGCGCCCCTCGGTCCGCGTCCCGATCCCCGCAGCCCTGCCCGCCGGCGCCCGGAGCGGGGCGGAGACCCAGGCCCG